GAATAGGAACTGTTACAGGGAAGCACAACCAAGCCCGAGTGAAGACCTGTCTTTAACCTAGTTACTCCTTGGGAATGAAAACAGCTCAGAAGAACCTGAGATAAGGAGACTCAGCAACGAAACGTCAACGAGCAGCAGCACAACCTGCTTTGTGACCAAGTCTCTCGGACACAGGACCAGCTGCCTCTGACACACGCAGCTCCCCGTGCAGAGGCAACTGTGGCTGCAGAGGCTCCACCGATGGGTAGACTTCCCCTTCAAAGACAAACCCTCATGTTTTCAGAAGACAACTTCCAAAAAGGACACCTCTTTTGGCACCGGATATAAATACTGTAGAATAATCACAGTGCCAATCAGTGCTGGCCAGTAGAGATATAATGTGGATAATCTCAGAAATTTTGTATTTTCCAGTAGTCATATTTTAAAAGGTAAAATAAAACAGGTGGAATTTATTTTAAATTTAACCCAATATAGATGATATGCAAACATTTCAAAAATTGGAAATACCCACATTTCAAGTGCTTGACAACTGCATGCAGCTAGTGGCTACCCTTTTGGACATCACTATTTAGAAGACAAAGCATTCCCCAGTCATTCACCTGGTAACTCCTCTACTTCTCACCTGGCTGCAATGACAGGTATCCATGGTGTGAGTTCATCAGAATGGTTACCGATTAACCAATCAACATCAGGGAAAAGGGTCTTATCGTTGGGTGTGATTGCATCTTCCTAAAGGAGTAACAAAACAAGACAAAATGTTTTGTGAATCAATGTAGAGCTACTGCGTGGGCAGGACACGGGGGGAGGGTACAGGCTCTGGGGTCACACAGCGCAGAGCTGTAGTTCACCTGCTACACGACCAGGAATGGGGAAGTCAATGTATCTGCCCTAGGTCTGCCTAGAGGGCAAGAAATGCTGGCAACTTTTAGGGAAATCACTGGAGAAACTAACACTCTTTTCTGAGTGCTAATCGCCTTTTGATCATTTAAAAGCTGATTTTTCCATAGGCATAAGAAGGAGCTCTAGGAGAGATGGCCACTGAATGGTTTCACCTCTGGCAGAGTATGGGGACAAGCAATGGCTTCAGAGGAGGTGAATGGAAGGCAGAGAAGTCTGAGGGTGATTTAAGTGCACAATACAACACAGGGGTCTCACCTCACAGGCCTTTCAATCTAGGAAACCAAGTCTAAGAAGAGACAGAGGGAGAACTTACACATGTCAATACATGTAATTCTTTACCATTAGGCTATTTTTGTAAACTATCATGAAGTGATTAAGATCCCCCTGAAGAGGCACTCTAACCATTCTGACAAATTCTGCAGTTAAGCTGAGGACAGCTTGCTTTTACGATTTCAGAACTTTGAATAGGCACCCTACCCTTTCTGATCTTAGCAGGCCATCATTAA